TAACCAGGACCGACTTTCCAAGTAGAGTCAGAAACTAGGGCGAACCGTCAAATGTGCCCAAGATTCCAATTGCACGGCCCCCATCGCACCGTTCCGCAAACGGACAGGCACCATCGTGTAACCCTCGTTCGACACCGGTTGGCCGGTAGCGAACATGTGCTCGCCTCGCCGCACGAGGCAAATGACATCCCAGGACTCAACATCGTAGAAACCTTCTTTGTGGAGCCCGCCCAAAATAATTTCGTGTTTTTGAGACGTCTCTCTTATTACTTGCACAACAAAAGATACATCGGCCAATCCAGGCAAGGCAGCAGCGGAGCTCTTCCTCTCTGGAATACAGCTTGCATCCAGCAGTGATGGGTGGGATGAGAGCCCACAGCTCCTCGTCGCTTTCTTTGCGGATGCTGACCCAGCCATCAACCCCGTCAGCATCGCGCACGTGCATGCGCCTTTCAGATTTAGAGGATATAGACAGAACCTCAACTTTGGAGCTTGCAGGTAGAAGCTTGATGCGCTTGCTTTGCAACTCTTCTGTCTCGCGCATGATGACATTGCCGATCGACTCGAGAGTCATACCTGGCCGAAAAGTCGCCCCATCATCACCCAGGGATTCTGGCTGCACATGTCTCTTCAACCATTCCTCCCGTGCGCATCTCGTGCGCCCTTTGCTCGAAGTGGGGAGCGTTTCGGCAGGTGGGCCAGGTCCTGCTGCGGAGTCCTGGTTCAGGCTGCGGAGTTTGCACCCTGGCAGTCGCTCGACTTTCAGCTTCGAGACGGGGGGAAACTGCTCTCCTGAGAGCTTTTTCATTCCCAGAAGCTGCACCATCTAGCCCGACCTGGCCGCATGCCGCAAGTGCACACGAGCAGCTCACGGCTGCGGGCGAAGGTCACACACTGCACTGCTGATGCCGCTTGCCACCTAGGTGCTTGACTGTTTTGGAAAAGCCGTGGCGGATAGTAGGTCCTTCCGAGTTTGTTGGCACGGTATAGGCAGACTCCAACGTGGGCCGGCACCTGCAGAAGCAGACAAAGATTTCCACCCGGGCTTCGCATGATTCGACCTTTGAGAAGAGCTAGCAAAAATGTACTCGTGTAGTGCCTTGGCACTTGTTACCTGAACCCACGGAGGGAGGTCTTAGCCACATTGGGTTCGTCAGGCTTCGAACTAAACCGATCGCTGCTTTAGAAGACCACGCACTTCAAGCTGAAGGGAAGGGTTGGAAGGGAGCCAAAAGCCCTAGTCGGCCAGGACATGCAGTTCTCGGACCAACATGTTCTTTCAGCCTGACAGGGCCTCTTCTAGTCCTGCAGTGCGGACCCTCAGCCCCGCGGCCGAAGGCGTAACTTGCCACAATCTTCTGCCGTGGAAAAAGCACCCGCACATGACAAATCAAGTCCTGTGTGACTCACCAAGTAGGCCCCAGACATACCTAGGAGCCCAAGGCCCCTCGACACCCACAGAAACCCCAAACTCTGAAGCTGTGCCCGCCTCTTTGCCGTGAGACGTGCCTGCACCGCGTTCCACTTGCTAAGATCTCAGGTGTTCTGTGACCCAGCGAGGTTCTTGCGGGGTAGATAAGAACAGCGGGGTTGAGGGCGCAGGAGGGTTTGGTGTTTTACACGTCCCACTGTGCAGGGCCTTGGGACTGAGTCTTCTAGTTTCTCAACAAGGCCAGCGGTTCGCCGACTAAGCCTTGAAGGCCCTCGCAGCTGAAACTCAAGGGGGCAGCCTTAAGTCAGCTTCAGTAGCTGCAAACGCCACACTGTGCACAGTGACTATCTCAAGAAAGCGGCCAACACTTAGAAATTCACCTCGGTCTGAGCATTGAAACTTCGAGCTGCCATTGCGGGTCAAATGAATGCCATCATAGACGATGGACAAGCAAGAGTGATGTGAAGGACTTGATCTGCTCAAGTGAGCTGGGGAAGTTTGCCACGGAAGAAAAGCCGACGGCCTTGTGTCATCCATCAAGCATGAACTGCCTTCGGTCATCTTCCGTTTCTCCTTGGCCCCATTGACGAGTAGTGACTTATGCTGTCGCGGCTTCTGCTGCTGTGATGACTACTGTTTAACACCATGACCGCCACCACCACGACGACGACGACTATGAATCCACCAACAATCCCTACTGCTGCTGCTGCTGCTGCTGCTGCTGGTGCTGGTGCTGCTGCTGGTGCTGCTGGTGCTGCTGCTGCTGCTGCTGCTGCTGCTGCTGCTCTACTACTGCCTACTCGCTGCTGCTGCTGCTGCTGCTGCTGCTGCTACTAACTACAATTACAGTTACAATTGCATTTGCAATTACATTTAAATTTACAATTACAATTACAAGTACAACAACAACAACAACAA